TTGTTCAAGCAGATTTGAGTGGTCCCCCCTCTGAATCCTTCCAAAATTTTCAGTGATCCCCCCCTTTTGGGCTCTCAGTTACGACTGATCCCCCCCTCTGTTCTCCTAAAAATCAAGTGATCCCCCCCAAAATCCTCCGACCCCCCCCCAGGTGATAAATAATGACCGGTCCCTAAAACAAACTGTTCGGAGAAGCAAATATTGCCTAGCATTTTCTATTACTTGAATATGGCTAAAAATTTCTTGATAAACGTTCCATTCAGGTACATTTTTCAAATACATAAAAAATTTCCTACGATTTTCTAAAGTTTAATTTTTTATGTTTTATTCCTTATGTTATGCTACGTTTCGTAGAAAAAGGAAACCTTGAATTTCCAGATTCAAACTGATGTGATGGAGGGAGAAAGAAAAATTCTCACTTGCATAAAAAAATTTCTGGAAAATAACTCTGAAGCCCTTGTAATTTCGAAAAGCCTCAAGTTCCCCTAGAATGACCGATTGGCGAAGAGATACAAATTTTATAGCACCGCTTAGAATGCATTTCTAGAGATCTGAAAGTACTCTGGATACCCTAAAACAATTTTTCAATAGGATAGGGTGGGATAGAATAGCTGCTTTATTATCAACAGAGCGCCTACAGACACGTGTGTTTAGTGCAATAATTACAGAGGTGTACATTTGAAGAATTTATACAATTAGACAATGAAGGTTATATTTACGCGTCTTTCTCCGCTTTCGCGCAAGCGATCACATATGTATTTGGCCACAATTTTTTGCGTTTTCTCTCCCTGCTTCATACTTATCAACGTTGCAAAAGCAGAGCTTGTAGTCACAGAGTCAATAAAAAGATTATTTTCCTTTTTTTTAGCGTATTGAACAGCTCTCTTCAATGCATTGAGGAGGAAACCGTCGTTAGGTACCCCTGATATTAGATTTCGACACATTTCAAGTACCGATAAAGAGGTGTTAGGGCATTACCTCAATTCTCAAACAATCCATGATAAGTCTTCTTCCTCTTGAATTTCAACACCACTTATTCCGTGAAAATATCATGTTCTCTTAATTAATTATTATTTTATTCATATAATTAAAAAAAATGATATGTCAAGAAGTCGCTTGGACTGATTTTATACAGCGAAAAAGGGGAAACTGCTTGAAATCAACCATCTGAAAAAATGAAAACTTAAACCTAAGCCAATTAACGTCGAACTTTTCATGAGACGAACCAAATTTAACTCTATTTTGGATCTACCAAAATTAATTAAGGTAACCCCGTCTGTTGGGTCAGACGTCGAACTCCAATCAACTGAATCAGACAGCAATTTTAGCGGGCCACTCAACTTCCGTCTGAAGCAGACGGATAGAACGTGTTGGACGATCCGAACTCATGAGACGAACTCAACTGATCCAGTTGTCGAACTTTTCATGAACTTTACTCACTAAGTTCAGTTTTTCTCACGAAAAGTTCGACGTTTGGCTTAGGCCTTAGGCTCATACTAAGTGTCGTTGAAACATTTTTGAAAACTTCGTAACTTGATGTCTGCGCGGCAGTACAGTCGAAACCCGCTTTACGGACACCTGCTTAATACGGACATCTCATTATCACGGACAGTTTGCTTTTCGCCTGGGGATAGAAGCCCTTACATTTTCTCTAAATAGAGAGGAGAAATGTGACGTCACGTTACCATGGTAGCACTATTTCTGGATGACAATAAAACAAACGACGACGACGACGGCAAGGAGATCGGCATCTAATAATATGTTTATATTCACGCATTCAACAACTTTGCACGTGCATCACGCTATTTTGTACATTTCTTTGCTGTCGTTGCACCACTACGACATGAAACTTCCTAATTTCAAGAGCCCGCTTTATTGAGTAGGTGAACACATACAAAAATTGTCGCTTTCTTTTTCTTTACTTAGATAAAGATAGATACCGTCCGAAAAAAGATTTCGCAAAGATTTGACAAATTAAATGAAATTGAATAAGATCGGTAAAGTTTAAAATACCGTATTTATTCAAATAATTGTCCAACCTCGAATTAGCGCCCACCTGGAAAAAGTACCCACCCCCTCCTCCTCCCAATCAAACTCAAGTAAGCGCTCACCCCCACCCCACCTAGCTGAGTGAATAAATTCTAATAAGAGACTTCCCCGAAGAGGGAGTTTTCTTCAGAGTATTTTACAGGAACCTTGCTTTGCTACTTCTTCGCGTTTTGGTATTAGCATTTATTGTTTTGTTGCAAAATAAACATACTTCACTTGCTGAAAATGGTGAAAATTTAATAAGCACCCAGCCTCGAATAAGCGCCCACCTCGAATAAGCACCCACTCTCAAGGTCCAAAAATTTAATAAGCGCCCAGGGCGGTTAATCGAATAAATACGGTAGTAAGTAACTTTTTAGGTTTGTTGTCATGCAAAATTTTTGCTGCTACGGTAACGTGACAAAACGACTTCTCCTCTCTTTTCATGGCTCCCTCTGTGACCGTATTAACGGGGATTGAATGTACTGATTACAACCATGTCTGAAACACTGGTGAAGCATGCTGTTCTAAGAAAATTATCCTGTGTTAAATTCATGATCATCAACTACCAGTAGCTCTGTTGAACGCATAAAAAAGCTGGTTTTTTGTGGTTTAATTCTGCTGTCTTAAATATTGCTTTCAAGGCTTTGAGTCAAAGCCAAGTGGACCTGACGGAAAGTGGACTGTCTATGTATTAGTGAGCGTCCCTGAGAAATAGTCCTCTAAAAATAGTGCGTTATGGAGCTCCGACAGAAGGAAGTGCCAAGTCAACGAAAGAATGGTTCATGGCTCAAAACAGTAAGTCCTGACTCATGGGGTCACAAATTGCTTGGCTGTAGCTGTTGTCGTTGCACAGAGATGATCAAACAAATCAAAGGCCAAATTGTGCATGCACAGCTTAGTTATTCCAATGACAACTGTTGACAACTACAGTCGAACCTCGCTTTGCGGACACTCGCTTGATACGTCAGACACCTCGTTACTATGGACAGTTTTCTTTGCCCCCGGGGAAAGCCCTTGCATTTTCTCTAAATTGAATCCGCTTAATAAGGACACCCGTTGAAGTAAAATTAATATGTTCACAGCCGGGAACTGCCATTCAAAACAGAAAGAGGAAAATTAGTATGTTCATGGCCGGGAACTGCCGTTCAAAAAAAAAAAAGAAAAAGAAAGAAACCAGTAATTAAGACTACTGTCTCCCGCCAAAAGTCTCAGGTTTCTTTTTTAAACGGCAGTTCCCGGCCATGAACATATATTAATTTTACTTTTTCTGTTTTGAATGGCAGTTCCCGGCCGTGAACAAATTAGTTTTACTTCTGCTTTTATCTCACTTTTATTTTTTTATTTTTTTCATTTCATAATAAAAATGTTTGTTTTATTTTGAAAGTTAACAAAATGAATCTATTTCCAGTTCAATGAATACAAAATAATTTGACGTTTTACTTTCGCTTTATTTTCCAATACAAAATAATTTAAGTTCAATCTAAAATTAACAAATTTATGTCGTTTTGACGTATGGCAGTTGTCGGCCACCGTACATCTGTAAATTGCTGGGTACAGAAAAACTGTTTATGAAATACATTAAAACTGAAGAAACAGCTAGCTGTAAACTGATCCGAAGTTTGCTGCTGTTTCTATAAACAACTTGGGAAGTCACAGGCCAATTTTGCCCGGCCCAATACATTTCTTCAAACATGATGTTCTATTCTATGGTGTATTTTTCCACATAAATTATTGGAAAGGAGCAAATGTACATTTAACACTACTTTACAAACTGTCAATAAAACATTGTTAACTGACCTACACATCGAAAACACAGGTGCAAGCAAAGGAAGGCCGGAATCGAGAAGAGAAACCTGTCAGACGCCTTCAGTTACGGAAATTAATTTAATCGGTTTCAAACGTCATTTACTCATTATTAAAAATAGTTTATGCCTCAGCTGTCTGCACCATTAACTTAATTCCGTGCTGCTCATTCAAAGGGGGACAATTAAGGAAAGGAAACCAGCTAGCAGTGGCTGTTATTGAGCAATAGTTTTTGTAAAACATTTTCGGCAAATGGGGATATGGATTATGTACTGAAACGGTGCTTTTTCTGGAGGAACCTCTGAATCCAACACAGACTTCCTTGACTTCATATGCATGCCTGTGGCAATTTGAAGTTTGCTTCGTTTTTCAGATCAGTCAGCCATAACAGAACTTGTGAGTGAAGGTAAGGAACGACCCCAGTAAGCCGGGAAATCGATGAGAAACCAACAAAATGTTATAAGCGGCGGTATAATTTAGAAACCCGTGATGTGAACAACTACGATAAAACTAAGAAAACCCTTGAATAATTTTCCAGCGGGCAGCAGAGTTCTCGGAACGTGAAGTTATCTAGTTGCTGAACGGTTTTGAAAAACGCGAATTTTCTCCTTTTGTAAGAGATGCATACATTAGCCATCTATCTAAAAGACAATGGACTATGGAGCTCCTACGTACGCACTTACGACGTAAGCATGAAATCGAGGCCTAAGAGCCACATCGCAGTTAAATGTGGCAGAAGCGCATCCTAAAACTTCGTCAAATATACTTCTAACAATGTTACCCTGTTGCGCTTTGTAATAATCGTTCCGATAATAGGAAAGACTTGATGCTTCATGTATTTCCGAAGGATTTTTGCCCAAGGTTAGTTTTTCCACTGACCACTTTCCAAAGCACGTTGATTTCAGGGGCATCCAGCAACGGTTTCCACCTAAATACGATTTCTGATAACGCTTTTTAAGCTATCCAGAGTACTTTTAGATGTCTAGAAATGTATTCTAGGCCTCGCTTTCATGCTTACGTCGAAAGTGTGTATTATGTTTAGATTTCCTTTTGTTACCTCAAAAACTTTTGACTACTTGGTTGATTGTTCCAGGTTCTGACACTCAGGAGCTGTGTCTCATTGAAAATTTGAACCTTAATAATTTCAAGTTACACTGAAGGTCGATAATATTTAGTAACAACCTAAAAAGGCGCACTTTAAGTCTGCATGCTGATGAAATGTAGCGGCTTCCATTCCCATGAATTTTCTTCAGCAGTATTTCCACTTGACACGATTTGATTTTCTTCAATATACTTTAAAATAAAGAGCGGAAGTTTTCAAATGTCGAATTGACTTTGACCACTTCTGGAAGTTAAATTGGGTCAGTACTTTTCACATTATTTGTTCTATCAAATATTTGGGTAAAAGTAGAACGACTAATAACAGCCGTGNTTCGTCAAATATACTTCTAACAATGTTACCCTGTTGCGCTTTGTAATAATCGTTCCGATAATAGGAAAGACTTGATGCTTCATGTATTTCCGAAGGATTTTTGCCCAAGGTTAGTTTTTCCACTGACCACTTTCCAAAGCACGTTGATTTCAGGGGCATCCAGCAACGGTTTCCACCTAAATACGATTTCTGATAACGCTTTTTAAGCTATCCAGAGTACTTTTAGATGTCTAGAAATGTATTCTAGGCCTCGCTTTCATGCTTACGTCGAAAGTGTGTATTATGTTTAGATTTCCTTTTGTTACCTCAAAAACTTTTGACTACTTGGTTGATTGTTCCAGGTTCTGACACTCAGGAGCTGTGTCTCATTGAAAATTTGAACCTTAATAATTTCAAGTTACACTGAAGGTCGATAATATTTAGTAACAACCTAAAAAGGCGCACTTTAAGTCTGCATGCTGATGAAATGTAGCGGCTTCCATTCCCATGAATTTTCTTCAGCAGTATTTACACTTGACACGATTTGATTTTCTTCAATATACTTTAAAATAAAGAGCGGAAGTTTTCAAATGTCGAATTGACTTTGACCACTTCTGGAAGTTAAATTGGGTCAGTACTTTTCACATTATTTGTTCTATCAAATATTTGGGTAAAAGTAGAACGACTAATAACAGCCGTGCCCGAATCCGGACGTGGGTATTATCTGTTATCAGAATAAAGAGTATGGTCATTTCATCAAGGAGTAATGAATGGCTTTTTAGAAGAATCACAAAGCATTGCTTACGGCCACACGCACATAAAGGCAAGGCTTAAATAATTAAAGAGTATTTTGGCGATCAAATAATTATCACTGAGATTAACGGAAAGTCAAATGTAGTGACTTTACGAAGCACTGCAGAATGTGTTTTGCAAGAACAAGTTCATGATCGCCAGGAAGATGATCCAGACATGGAAAAAATACATCTTATTAAAACAGCTGCTAAGCTAATAAGGAATGACATTAAATCAGTAGGAAATTCGAACGAGCATTATCCACCATCCTACGAAATTGAAAGTCAAAAGAAGAGTTACAATTTTCTTCCAAAATCTGTCAAGGTTTTTTTAGAGGGAATCATCATGGGAAAGGATGTGGACCTAAAACGAGCATCAATCGGACAAACTATCATGCAAGCAGCTCGCCCTCGAGTTTTACTTGCACCGTTTCAGATTGGATTGAATGTACAACTTCATCACCACTTTGCCTCACGATTGCTCATTGACTGGCTCCATCGTCTTGGGTTCTGCTGTTCTTACCAGGAAGTTCAAACGTTTGGAAAAAATGCAGCTGTGACTCAAGGAACTGGCATACCTAATCACACTTCTGAATTTGTTCAATACGTGGCAGACAATGTTGATCATAATCTAAGAACATTGGACGGAAATGACATATTTCACGGGATGGGGTTAATAGCTACTGTTACCCATGGTACAAAACAAACGCAAGTTATTTTAAGAAGAAAGGTTAATCCAACAGAGGTATCAGTATGTGGACAATTTTAAATTCATTACCAAAGGTTAGAAGGCAGTGCGGAAGTAAAAATCAGATACCGAGACGTCTGTATTAGGAAAGCCACTGATCCAACAACTAATCTAGACGTACTTTGGAAGACATCGCTCCTATTTGGTGTATCAAGACCGGCCTTGTCTGGCATGATGCAATTTGCTCATCGAGGCAGTCATCCTGGTCAATCATCGGTAGTCTTTCTTCCAATGATAAACATGAGCTCAAGTAACACTACATGCGTCTTCTCCACACTGAAGTTTATTTCAGAACCACTCGACATCATAAAGGGACACCAATTATTACCTTTGATCAGCCACTGTGGGGGAAAGCGTTGATGGTCATAGTCTGAGCCTGCGGATAGTAACCTCCGTCAGGTAGTTCTCCGCCTTGGAAGTTTTCGCACAGAGATGAGTTTCATTGGTAGCATCGGGCAGCTATTTGCAGAATCTGGGCTAAAGGAACTTCTTGAATTGATTTATGCACCAAATGCAGTTGAGCACATTGTTACTGGTAAAGCTATCGCAAGAGCCGTAAGAGCTCATCTTCTCGTTGATGCAGTTCTTAATAACCTTATCCTTTCTAAAGCCCTGGGAGTGTCCGTTCCTGACCTTGAAGTAGAAGCTAATGCCCCCGACATGAATGATGCAAGAGCCGATGAGGAGGCAACACCACGTACACCTGCTTTTGAGCTTCAAGAAGCTCATGCTCTGTATGCAGATTTAATGGCAAGAAAGAAATCAGCGGAAGAAGTCAGCTCAGCCAGTGCAATAAGTAAGATCAAACATCTGCTCCAACAGCAGAAGGAATCCCTTCAAGACAATCGCACTGCCAAACTCTGGTTGCAGTACATGGACATGGTCGACATTCTGAGAAAATCCATCAAAGCAGAACGCACTGGACACTGGGCACAGCATCTTGAATCTCTTTCTGAAATGCTTCCCTATATGGCAACTTCTGGTCACATCCTTTACACCAAATCTGCTCAGTTGTACCTGTAGTCCATGGTCCATCTAGAGAGTGAACATCCTGTTGTGTACCAGAAACTAATTGATGGATTCCACGTGGTAAGAAGAAGTGACCGTAAATGGGCGGGGCTGTCCACAGACCTTGTTATTGAGCAGGTGTTAATGAGAAGCATGAAGACTAGTGGTGGCTTAACGAGAGGAAGAGGCATGACAGAGCAACAACGGCTGATATGGCTCCTTTCAATGCCAGTTTGTGCTGAGATAAATCGTGCCATGCTGGATCTCACAGGCGTCTCTTACAGTACCGGCGAGCAAACTAAGTGTCATTTCAGAGTCCAGAAAAAACCGTGACATGAAAGATACCAAAACGCTGCTAAATGCCTTAGCTGAGCAAAATCCGTTCACTGCTCGAAAAGGCCTAAGAAACATCATGAATGGTGTCCATGCAAATGATACTGTAAATGTGGATGACGCTAAGGATATTGGACAGGGCATCTTAGCGTCAATGACTGGAACGTTTGTCACGGAATTTGCCTTCAAACGAAGTAATCAGGCTGTGACTCTTGCTACAAAGTCATCAGTTAAATTTGATGGAGAGAAGATCCAAGTAGACCCATAGCTTCTATTCCAGCGTCCAATTGTAGTTCTGAAATCACTGGATGACATGGAAGCAATTTTCAAGTTTGAGCTGTGCAGCTATCCACCTGCTCTCTTTGATTCTTCACTTATGTTGCTCCAACCACACAAGCCAGCCCTTGCTAATGCTATTTGGGCTTTGACTATGGAAAGCTCAGATGTCACAGCTCCTCAAGGAGAGCTCCAATTTGTTCTGGATGGCGTTGCACTCATTCACCGAATCCCTTGGCCGCGAGGGTGTACCCGAAATATATGTGCGTTGTACTGCAATTATGTGGACCAGAAGTATGTAAAAGCAATCATTGTCTTTGATGGATACACAAGCACATCCACAAAGAGCATGACACAGGAAAGACGTTCAGGCGGGAAAGTAGGTGCAACTGTCACATTTACTGACGACATGAAACTTACAGTGAAGAAGAATCATTTTCAGGCAAACAAAACAATAAACCGTCCTTCATTAATATGCTTAGTCATTAGCTTCAGCAGGCCAATTTTTGCCAAGTCTACCGCTCGACAGCTGATGCTGATTTGCTCATAGTAAACAAAGCTGTGGAAAGTTCAAGAACCATCGACCACGTGCAGGTAGGGGATGACACTGATCTTCTTATTCTACTCTGTTATCACGCAGAGTTAGATGTATTCGGCCTTTTTTTTCCAACCGGAACAAAGAACAAATTCCACTAAGCGTCGATCTTGAAATATAAAGTCAGTAAAGGAAAAGCTTGGCCAAGAAATTTGTCGTCATATTCTTTTTATCCATGCTATTAGTGGATGTGACACGACCTCTCGATTGTATGAAATTGGCAAAGGTCTTACACTAAAGAACTTTGTCACCGACACCCACTTTCGTGAACACGTAAAGGTGTTTGACAGTCTTCCAGCGTCAAAGGAAGAAATTGTTAAGGCTGGTGAGCAAGTCATTGTTTGTCTTTACAATTGGAAGCCTGAAGAAGGACTTGATGGATTGCGATTTCGTCGCTGTGCGAAAAGGTGTCCACTGGTACTTCCCAGATTCAGCCACAAAGCCAGCATTAGAGTCTACCACCAATTTATGCAGTGGAAGGGCAAAGAGAAACAAGTAACTGCTGAAGAATGGGGTTGGAGATTGAATGATGATGGCCAACTTGTACCGGAAGCACCAGAAGCTTTGTTGCGTGTTGTGAGGTGCAACTGCTTGTCTGATTGTAGTAACATGCGATGCACAGGTAAAGAACACGATTTCGAGTGTTCAGCTGCATGTGGACACTGTCGAGGCACTAGTTGCACTTATGCTGCAGCACTCGATTTCGACGAAGACTTAGATGAAGATGAAAATGATTGAAGGTCCAAAGGTTTTTTTACTGTTGCAAATTTGCTTATCAAAGTTCCAATGAGAAAAAACTAATTCATCGATCAAAATAGCGCTTTTTCTATCGCAAATAGAATTCAGCCTCGTTTTCATGTTAACTGATTACGGCCATTATAATTGAACTGAATTTAAGTGTCTTCCCATGCATAGATTTTCCTAATATGCATATTAAAGAGGTTAGTTTTTCCACTGACCAATTTCCAAAGCACGTTTATTTCAGGGGCACCCAACAAGGGTTTCCTCCTAAATACATTGATAACGCTTTTTAGGCTATCCAGAGTACTTTTATAAGATGTCTAGAATCTATTCTAGGCCTCGCTGTCATACTTATGTCGAAAGTCTGTATTGTATTTAGATTTCCTTTTATTACCGCAAAACCTTTTGACTACTTGTTCTTCTTATTTTCTACCACTTTTAAGAAGGAAATCTATAACATATGCAAATTAACAAAAACCTTGATAACTTAATATCCTGGCTAATTGAAATGGTACCGCCCTTACTGAAAACTAAACATCGACAATCGTAAAGAACAACCCGTCGAAAAGTTGTGCACGCAGTAATAATGCACAAAAAGCTAAACAAAGAGCTTTAAAACCGAACAAAAGAGCGACGATTATTAACCAAATGAATTGAGCTGCCGGCTCTAAATGATAAAAGTTTATTTGTAATCATCTGTAAATTGATGGGTACAGAAAAATTGTTTTTGAAATACTATATTAAAACTTAAGAAACAGCTGTAAACTAATCCGTAGTTTGCTGCTGTTTCTATAAACAGTGTATAAACAACTTGGGAAGTCATAGGCCATTTTTGCCCGGCCAAATATGTTTCTCCTAACATGATGTTCTGTTCTATGATGTATTTTTCCACATACATTATTGGAAAGGAGCAAATGTACATTTTAGACTACTTTCGAAACTGTTGATAAAACATTGTTAACTGAACTACACATCGAAAACACAGGTGCAAGCAAAGGAAGGCCGGAATCAGGAAGAGAAACCCGTCAGGCGCCTTCACCTCAGAAATTAATTTAATGGGTTTCAAACGTCACAACTCTTTATTAAAAACAGTTTATGCCTCAACTGTCTGCATCATTAACTTAATTCCGTGACCGTGACCGCTTATTCAGTGATAATTAAGAAAAGGAAACCAGTGGCTGGAATTGAGCAAAAGTTTTTTATGAAAACATTTTCAGCAAATGGGGGTGTGGATCATGTACTGAAACAGTGATTTTTTCCGAAGGAACTTCTGAATCAAACACGTACGGGGGAACTTCTTTGACTTCATGTGCCTGTCGCAAACTGAAGCTGCCTTCGTTTTGAGATCAGTCAGCCATAACAGGACTTGTGTGTGAAGGTAAGAAACGACCCTAGTAAACCGGGAAATCGATGAGACATCCAACAAAATATTAAGCGGCGGTATAATTTAAAAACCGTGATGTGAACAACTACGATAAAACTTAGAAAACCCTTAAATAATTTTCCAGCGGGCAGCAGAGTTCTCGGATCGTGAAGGTATCTAGTTGCTGACCAGTTTTTAAACTTTCTCCTTCTGTAAGAGATGCTTACATTAGCCATCTAGAAGACAATGGACTCTGGAGCTCCTACATACACACTTACGACGTAAGCATGAAAGCGAGGCCTAAGGGCCACATGGCAGTTAAATGTGGCATGCAGAAGTGCATCCTAAAACTTCGTCAAAAAATAGTTGTCACTGACAATGCTACTCCGTTGCGCTTTGTAATAATTGTTCCGATAATAGGAAAGACTTGATGCTTCATTTAATTTATTCCGAATGATTCTTGCTGGAGGTTAGTTTTTCCACTGACCAATTTTTTAAAGCACGTTCATTTCAGGGGCACCTAGCATCCCTTTTCTCCTAGAGTACTTTTACATGTCTAGAATGCATTTTAGGCCTCGCTTTCATGCTTTCATCGAAAGTCTGTATTGTATTTAGATTTTCTTGTATTACCACAAAACCTTTTGACTACTTGGTTGATTGTTCCAGGTTTTCACTAGAGCTGTGTCTCAAGTTACTGAAAAGATAAAGAATATTTAGTAACAACCTAAAAACGCGCACCTTAAGAGCCAATGTCGGAAAATATCGAGAATCTCAAATTAGTTCAGAACCTAAAAATTCGAATTTTGGCTAATACCACCTAAACAACCGTTTACGTGAACTATTTCAAGAAATGATATTAAGAAATACCCAAGCGCTTTACGTTTTGAGAAATTTGGAAAAGTTCGAAAATTCCATAAAAATACATTTTTTCCCCGAGAAATTACTTCAAATTTCAACAATTTTCAATGAAGCAGCACAAGCGCGCAAAAGCTCCTATTGACTTGATGTCGCACATGCATTTATCAGTTACTCAAAGCTTTAAGACTCATAAAAATGTCTCGCAAAATAACTTTTGTAATATAGTTTTGGGCTTTCATTGCTTGCACCTTGATTGTGCTGTTTTTGGCGGTCGAAATAACGCCCAACTTTAACCGCAAAAAGTCGGTTCTGGTATTTCTCAAATATAAAATATGATTATACTACATAAAAGAGCTGTGATTTTTTTAACTAGATCTGAAGTTTCAGCTCTGAGAATTTAAACGCTTGCGAACAATAGAATTTTAAATATAGCCACTTGGGCCACCGTAAGCGACAAGAACGTGAAATGTGAACAAAGCGAAAACCGTGTACACAAAGGAGAAAAATCACACCAAAGTTATTTCTAGCCCACCAAAGCGTTAAGAAATGAGGGAAATGTCGGCATCTGAATAGGTATTGTTCTCTGAAAAGCTAAAAAGGTGAAGTTGTCCGAAGAAAAGAAAAAAAATCCTGAAAAATGAGCAACTGAGAATCGCGTCGGGTGACCATTTTTAAATAGACCTTGTCACGGTTTTCGACGCCATCTTGACGAGTAATAGGCAAACGCGTGAGAAATTACAGCTAAATTACAGTGTTTGTAGGAGAATCTAATGTCGAATGATTTCCGTTAAACGGCTGTTCTGAAAAAAAATATGACTTTTAAACTAAAGCTACAAAACAAGGGATTGT